AAAATGTGTGATTAAAATATATATATATATATATATATATAATCACACTTAATTGAAAAGTGATATAGAAATAAATATTATCACACTCAATCAAATCAAGTGTAATTAAAATATAAATCTAATTTTTTTTATCACACTTCCAATAAAAGTGAGATATTTTCATTTGTCAAAGTATGATCGTTAACTATTTTTGTAGTAGTGGCCCTAAATACAACAATACACAAAAGAAGCCTTCGGTCCCGAGTCATCCCAAGTTATTGCCTTGGCAAAGGCATATCATCTACATCTGAAAATGGTTTTCTCACATAGGATGAGCCAAAGATCAGTAGAGATACTACCACACAGTTTATGAATCTTAACAAAGATATAAGGTGAATGCATGTGCAGTGCTCGTGCCGAAAACATTTTATATCTTTTTCCAAAACCATGCAATGCCAAATTATAACATAATTCATGGAATCATTTCCTTTTCAATAGAAAACAAGACAATAAATACAACACTGAAAATCTCTAGGACGTGTCTGCAAGTAGGCTACAAGCACTACCAATTTGTCATTTTTACTGGTATTAACCGGGAGGCTCGACACCAAACTGCAAGGGTTTCTGGACTTTCACCAATGACACATAATCCAACATAATACCACAATTACACTCCTACCCAGACCCATTTTTCTCAAATAATATACACTTTCAATGTGTTAAAGATGCGACACTGTTCAATGTAAATGGATGAGAAATTAGTTTAGATTCATCTAATTCTCATGTAATTTCTACAATAATCATAGCTATCCTCCACCAATAGCCTAAAACAGATATCTCTAAACAGATAAATAATTTTCATAAAGATAGACTTTTCGAAAATCTCAAGATGGGAGTAATAATGCATATCTAACTCCGCCATCATCATCAACATCAATCCAATTCCACATTTCCAACATCATTTCCATTTATCATTACTAAATCAACATTTTATATTCTTAGGGCAAAATCTCATTTCCTTTATAAATCAATTTCAAAGATAGAAATCCATCATTTCATTATAACTCAATAATAAATACATTTCCCCAATCATTTCTAACAACCCATTTGAAAACCCTTCTTTTTTATTTCAAGCCAAAACCCTAAATTGTTCAAAAATCTCCTTTTTTACAATGTGGTCTTATAAAAACAAATAGCTAAGTTAAAAATCATAAGAAAGTGCGGAGAAATACCTACCTCAAGCTTAAAAGATGAGAGAGAGAGAGTGGAGGAACCTCAAAGACAAGGAAAATCAACTTTGTTTCAATTAAGAGGAAGCTCTCGATGTGCTCTTTTTTTTTATCAAAGGGACTAGGGTGTAGAAATCAACGGATCTATGTGTATTTGTAGAAACCAACTTAGCCGATTGGAGATCCCAAATCTAGGTTTAAAGAGACAACCGAATTATAGATGACTTCTTATGTCATTAAGAAAATTCTCTCCTACCTATTTTTATGATAAGAAGAGTTAAACCTACAACGTTAGTAGGATAAGCTTTCTTTTTAATGATTACTTATGTATTGGACATCCAAGTGGGATATAGTTGAATACTCTTATTAAGAAGTCACCTATATAAATGTGAGCTAAACTGGTTCTATAAGAATTGAGAAGGCTAAATTCTGTAGGGCACTCATGAATTACCAGTTGTTGTTCAAGGCCAAAATGAACACAACTGTGAGAAATAAACTATGTTTGGAGATACTCTGTGTTTAGTCTATTGTCTTGGCTTACACCAACAACTGAACAATTTAAGGCATCACATACTAATTAGCCAGCAAGTCCGATAGGTTTTTACAATATAAAGTTCAAAGCCAAAAGGAACCTATCTCAATGAAGTGTATTTTCTTTATGTATTCCACTTTATCTGCATGTTGTTGCATGTTCTTTATTATCAATTGTTTTAGCAAACTTTGAATAAAATATAGATGGGTCTCGGTCACTATTTTGGTAGGTGTAACAACCCCAACCCGTGCTTAGCTTACAACATATGAGTAAGAATTCCCAATAAGTAATTAAGATGAAATTCTGAATTAATTACATGTGCATTGCATTATTTGTGATTATATCTGTCTATCGTAGAAATATCTGTTTGTATTTCTGATTTGTTCGACGAATTGAAGGCCTTGTCGACATCCGATCATGAAATTGACTTGGTTTCTGTGTTATTTAGAATTTTATGGTAAGTTTAATTAAAATTCGATTTGGAACAATTAAATTAGAATAATCTAATGTCCATTTGATTAGCTTTAACTAATCACCACTAATCAAGCCTACATAAGGCTCTTATATGTGCTTTAACTCATCTCTTTTCGTCATCACATCTTTGAGCCTATACAAACAAACAAAATGTGAGAGAGAGGAAAAAGAGACCAAGAGGGTTTGAGATCAAACTTAAGATTGGAAGGAATTTGCTAGAGAATGACAAGGATTGGCTTAGAAGCTTAAAGATATAGCAAGCTAGAGCCTAATTCAAGAGTTGGGTAAGGATTTGAGCTTTTATTTGTGAAATTGAGACATAACACATGAATTCAAGAGGATTTAGAATAAGAATTAAGCTTTGAGAGGTGAATTTGAGCCATACCTTGCATGCATGCATTTTTATCACATTTTAAGTTTGAATTTCAAACAAACCACACATGCATGTGTTTATCCTGGCTTTATTTTGAGAATTTATCAAGTTTCACACCATTTTATCTAAAGTGATCATGTTTGGAGCAAGTTTGAGTTCATAGCATTGCATACATGTTATATACATGAAAGTTTCAAACTTGGGTTGAATAATTGACTTACTCTTAGGCCTTGATTTTGCGAAATGGTTTTGAATTCATGATGTTTGACAAGTTTAAACACGTTTTCTCAAGTTTTGGGGCCCAAAGGTTGGATTATAAGTTTTTGAATTCGAGTTTTGAGCTTGGGAGCAAATCTAGAAATTCTAGAATTTTACTTCTCTACTCGAACGACAGAACCTATGCTCGAGTGACCACCCTTTGTTTTGCACTTCCGCTCGAGCATAAAATGCATGCTCCCAGAAGTTTACTAGTTTTATAGACCATTCAAGCGACCAGAGTTGCGCTCGAGCGAGGGCCTTAGTCTCACGCTAGAGCGACTGTCGAGCGTGCGTCAAGCGGAAAAATCAAGCAACCAGTACTTTTGCAGAGTTTGCAGACAGCTCGAGCGAAATAAGTTGCGCTCGAGCGAAGACTTTGTTTTAGTAAGTTTGACTAAGTGTTTTGAATCACATTTTGGCATCCTCATTGCATCCTAGGCATTCTTAAGCCCTAATTAAGACATAATAATGAGGATAAGACTTAGAAACACACTAAGGACTAAAAAAGTTAAATTCAGTGCCTTTCGAACGTATGTTTCAATATGTATCTGCTATGTGTTGATGTAGGCCACACGCCATAGACTGTCTGAATCGCCCGCATTCTTTGTTTTTCTACCGGAGCCATCTGTGAGTAATAACTCTATAAAGTTATGTTTGACTTTAATTATTTTCTGATGATATGAAATGATCAGTTTTCTAAAATGCTATGTTTTGTATGAATGAATGATTGTCCAAGTTTTTGAAATGTATTCATGGCATCCTTAGCATCATATGATATGTGTCCCTTTATGGGTCATCGGAATGCCTTTATGGCTGTCCTTTTATGGGTCAT